CACACACACACACACACACACACACACACACACACACACACACACACTGATATCAATTTAAATACTATGAGCAGATATTCATGACAATTCTCCTATTATAGGACACAGAGGGAACACTAAGGATCTCTAAAAGTATGTGATAACATCAGGTATGCCTACAGCTTGCTTCTACCGCTGAGGTCCCATTTCTGTTTTCTTAAATACTATAGTATGTATTTAGAGAAGTTTTGTGAATTTATGAAGCTTTTTTTTAACTTTAATCAAATTTTCATTCTTTCTTCCTGTAATGTTTTATTATATACACAATGTCCTGCTTGCATGCATGATTTCAGGGCAGAAGAAGGCATCAGATCTCACCATTGATGGTTATGAGCCACCATATGGTTGCTGGGAATTGAACTTAGGACCTCTGGAAGAGCAGGCAGTATTCTTAACCTCTGAGCCATTTCTCCAACTACCTCAGCCTTCCAAGTGGTTGAGAATATGGCCTGCTTCATTCAAATAAAAAATTCTCAACCAAGTATGCACAGCCATGGTGACAGATTATTATACACATCAGTTACATTGTAGATATGTGGTTGTGTTCTGGATATTAATGAATACTTTCCAGTAACAGTCAGCATTCAAAGTGATGGAACTAATTAAAATGAAAAGCCTAACATTGTCTTTCTTTTCTTTTCCTTTCTTCTCTAATCTGCAGTGTTACTTTCAAAGGGGCAGTTTTCAAAACGAAACAATTACCATTGAGGGTAATGGGGATAAAGAATTGGTCATAAGGTTCTGTTATCTTGAAGTCAGAGGATCCTAAGAGGAGCTCTAAGTGCTCCCGGGGTCCACTAGTGGCCACTGGGTGAACTGCAAGAAGATTACACAAACCGGTGCCTTCCCTGGCATTCATTAGTCCCTTTATAAAGGCGATTTTGCTAGTGGAGAGGCTTGATATATTTAGTGCCAAACCAACTCTGTGCTTTTTAGACAAATAAACAGAAATTTGAACTCTGTAGAATAATAGCCTGGTTCAGACAGTATGTCTGCTGATTTTTTTCTTTGTTTTTTTTTTTTTTCCTGCCCAGTTCTCTTGAGACTATCCAGCTATGATTATCAGTTCAGAGGCTCCACCCTCGCAGCACTCAGTGAAAAAAAAAAAAAAAAAAAAAAAAAAAAAAAAAAAAAAAAAAAAAAAACAAAAAAAAAAAAAAAAAAAAAAAAAAAAAAAAAAAAAAAAAAAAAAAACATTGAACAAGCACGTACCAAAACATGTTATTAATGAATTATAGTGATTAGGCATGGTGAGTTATTCAATTTGTGGGTGACTGTTTCCATCCATTCAGATCATTCTGCAGCCACTGGCCCCTCACTTTCCTGTGTGAGGGCTGCTTCCTGTGGGCTGTGGACATGTGACTGCAAAGTAAATAAAGACTGCTGTTTCAAAATAGGTGACTTATTCCTCATCTCTGCTTCCAAAGGTTCATTTACAGAAAACCAATTATCTTAGGTAAGAGGAAAAAAGTCAGCTGCCCTACTCAAAGGCTCTGGTGATTGTTATGTGTCATTGGCAACATTTGGCTCATATTTACAATTTCCTTAGGTTCTCCACCAGTGATGTTCTGATGGGGAAGTATCATCCGCATATTCCAGTCAGCTGACCATCATTGGTCAAGGGTGGTGGGTCAGATGCTATTGTGGGCAATATTTATCCTGTCCTTAGGAACACCCTGCACAGGAGACATTGCTTATTTTTTGTTTGGGAAAATTAAGGCTTGAGGACTCACTTAGATTTTTCATTGGGATTGTGGGGGGTGGGGGAAGGGAGCTGGGTTTGGTTTGTTTGTTTGTTTGTTTGTTTGTTTGTTTTGCCTCTGAGACCAGCAATTCTTTGCATCCTCTACCACATGCATGGAGGTTTGTGTGTGTCTTCATTAATCCTGCTGCAGGGCCCTGAGCCCCTTCCTCCTTCTTTTCCTATGGCTGACTTCTTCCAGAGTCAATGCACTCCTTTCCAGAGCACAGTGTCTTCGCTGCCAGAGGGGAATTTTACAAGAAAACTGAATACCCCAAGGTGACCCATGGGATAGCTTGCTGTCTGCAGGCTTTCCAATTTTATTTGCATTCTTTAAAAAAAAAAAAAGGGAGAGAGAGATTTTTAGTCTGGGCAGCAAAGAAGCAAAAGAAAATCAACTGATTGCCTTAGGTCTGTTTCCTAACCTGTTAACAAAAGAAACTGAGGCCGGGTGGTTGTATACCCCAGTTCTGTGACTTTAATGTCAGGGTTTACAATGTGGCATTTAGCTGGAAAGTTAGTTCTTGGGCACTAAAAGCCACTGTGTGACTGTCTGAACCTACCTCAGCAAGCAGATGTTTATCCCCGGTGCAAAACAGCACCGAGAGCCCACAGGACTAAAACTGGGTTTTGGTGCATAAACGATATTCCATCATCATCCAGCTAGATGTGATTCAGGGACAAGAGCCTGGATGTCCCTGATCATTCCCCAAGGGAATGGCTCCTGCATCAAAAACCAGTGACAGCACCTGGACCTTGTCACAGTTGACAAGGCCAAGAGGAGGTCAGCTGGTGGCTGCTGCACCCAAAGCAGGTCCCTCAGGATGAGGCAGAGGAAGCAGCTTGCCTCGCCTGCTCCCCCCATCCCAGCTGCTCAGGAGACACATAGAGGGCTTCCATCTCTATTACTGTCAGAATCTGGCACCTCTCACCAGCTCTGAGATTCACAGCCATGGACAGAGGAGGCAGAAGGAAGGAGTTGCAAGCCAGACAATCAGACGTAGCCACAATATTTTAGAAGTGGAATCTTCCAAATAGAGAACATTCTCCAAAGCACAGAATGTTAGGGGTGAAAGAGGCCCTGAGTGAATACAGAACCGCGTAAAAAGAATGGCTAAGAAGTAGAAAGAGGACATGGCTTCTCTACGTGACAGGATCAGTAAATGCCAAAACCAGGACCATCATCCGGAATCTCTGGTGTTTTTATAGCTTGAAAGGGTTTTGGAGTCTTAACTGAGGGTGGCTACCAGAGACTGAGAGGGCATTTGTTTTGTAGATCTTAGTGGAGGAGGGTTCTCACACATATCCACCATGGGAAAGGAGGCCCAGATCTACCGGATACAGTGCTATGCTCCTCCTACCTTGCAGGTTGACACCCCTGGGCACCAGGCCCTGGAGCTCCTCAGTCGGGAGGTCAGCTTCTGCTGCATTGGAGTTATTGGGTGGGACTGCTCGCCTGCCCCCAAAGGTGGTTGCTGGAGTATCTGACATTCTCAGCTTACTGGATCCTTGGGGAAGGGAGAAGAGAAGGGAGAGGAATGTGAGCCGAGTACTACTCTCTAAAGGCCAGGCAATGCGTTGTAAGTCACACGTAAGTGAAAACCAGGAGGTGGCAGCGAGAATCAGCCTAGTGACAGAGCGTGCTTCCTGAGGATCTCAGGGAGACTCCCCGTTTGTCAGTAGGTACAGAAAGCAAAAGAAAGAGTGTTTGCTTGAAGCAAAGAAAATCTTTAAAGTTTTCAGACAGCAGAATTTTCCTTTCCGCAAGACCCCAAAGTCTTGTGTGTTTATAGGCACATGTCCCCACTCATCTCATGGAGACTCACCAGGCTAAGTCACTGTGAGGCTTAGACTTATGAAAACTTGTCCGGATTAGGATGGTCCCTTTAAGCTGTTTCATCGGCCATTTAATTTCCCCCCTGTTGACTTCTGGCTTCTTATGAGCCGGGCTATGATCTTAGTACTTAGGTAGGTATAATGGAAACAGTGTCTATTTCCTGAGAGTTTACAGTTCAGTGGGGTTAAGATGAGCTTGGAAGAGTCATACATAAATCTCTTTGGGTGTGTGGAATGGAGGCCATGGCCATGGCCAGCTGAACTGTGAGTAGGCTGTGTTCTATCTTGGTCTGGCCTGCTTCCCCTTCCCTCAGAGTTTGTGCAGGCAACCAGCCAGTCTAAATGCTACACCCCTTACCTTCAGGGCCCAAAGGACTTGTTGACCAGCTGGCCAAAGTCAAGGGGGACTTTGTTTCTGAGCTCTCTTCACCTGGCTCACCAGGCAGCGACCCCTGGCTATCTGGCTGTTTGCAAAAACCAGGCATACCCTTGCAATTATAAAACCAACCTGATTAGGCTGTTTTAGAAATGAGTGGAGCAGTGGAAGCAAGGCTAAGCACAGGACCATTTGGTAAAGTATTTGTTCTTGGGAGGAGAAAGGGGCCTATAAAGGAACAGCATAGGTGTGGGTATCTATAGATGTCTTTGGGGATTTACAGATAATCTCATGTGAGCTGAGGCAGGAAGAGTTTATAGAAAAAGCTTTAATGACAGAGAAGACAAAAACAAGTCGATCTTCTGCAAAGGCAGAGTGACTGGTCGCTAGAGGCCAGGAGGTAGGGAGCAGTGCTGGGCATCCAGACAGCCTTCTGGTAGAGAGCAAGACAAGCAGAGAACTGGAACATTCCAGGTGATGGTCAAGAAAGGAAGTGCAAGCCACTGGGTGAGGCCAGGTGGGGAGCTGTCCTTCTTGGTCAGTTCAGGGAAGGGAAAGGAGCTTGAGTTCAGTCCCCTGTTGAGATGAGGGAAAGAGTGAATGGGACAGGGCAACGAATCCCGCTGTCTTCTAGTCAGGTGGGCATTCCCAGGTGGCCTTACCTTCTCCTTTAACCTTAGTCCTTACTCCACAGCTGGCTTCCCCTAGAAAGGGGACCTGCCTTTGGAGGAGCAACTCCACTCCTGTCCCCATTTAAAAGTCATCTACACCAGCCCAGCCATAGCTTGGTGGAGTTAAAAAAGAGGTCCCTCTTAAAGAGGTGACGGACTGGCACTGGAGAGACAGGCTGCTTCAGGGACCTCCCCATCCCTCTAGAGATGTGGAATGTAGGGACACGGGGACAGCCACAGCTTGGAGCAGGGCTGCACAGAGCTGCTCTGAGGGTTTCTTACCTGCTCGCACTCCTGAGAGGGTGCTCGGGTAGGTTCAATGTGTGCCTCTCGGTACTTCCTCAAAAGGACTCAGGCAAAGTGACCAGAAAGTTGGCTCTTAAATAACTTCCTAACGGCTCCCACCCTCCTGCCCATCCCGGAGGATTTCTCCTCCCCTTTCTTGACAGCTGGTGGAGGGGGCAGATCTGTTTCTAGGAGCTTCCATGTACTATTCCAGCGTGTTCTCCTTCCTGCCACCACAACCCCTTTGCTCCCAAGATCCCATGTTGTCATCTCCTCATCACCCCATCCCCAGAGTCACCGTCTCCCTTCTCTGGCTGCTACTAGTGACTGGCAAATGGCACTGTGGTGTTAGCCAGCCTCTCCCCTGCCCTCCTGATGGGTCAGAAGGGCTAAAGTGTCATATTTTTTTTTCCTGTGGAGAAATGCTTTGCCATGCAGATGGGTGGTGAGCTGGCAGGAGGGAGGATCTGCCTTTTCACAGACAGGTCACACAGACAGTTGTGACCACACATAAAGCAAGAGCAATGAGTCCTTCTTGAGCAAAGAAAACTGCCTCCTTGAATTACCCACAGAACCCCAGCCCCAGGCTCAGCCCCAGCCAAACCACAGGACTTCCTGCAGGACAGCCACACTGGTATCCAGTTCCCGTACAGATGAGGAGATGCCCTCAAGAGTGCCACACAAGTGAGAAACGCTTTGTGTTTTCCATCAAAGCCATTCTGATGTGTCTTCAAGACTTACAGAGAAAGGAAAGGAAGTTTTCCTCCCCAGACTTTACCTACTTTTGTTTTGACATTGTCACATGTCTAAGTACTACTCATTTCAACCGAAGGTCCTCTTCAGTGCACTGATTGTCTTCAGATGTCTGACCCTGACACACACGATCTTCAAATTTCAAAGTGGAACAAGAGATGCTATTAGTCAGGAATTCATACTCTCCCCACCCCATTTCTCTGTCCCATATCTGTAGACTTGTAGCTAATTTTACCAAGTTTTTTTCTTCTGTGTATCCTTGAAATGGAAAAGTCCTCCTGCCTCTTTGTCCAAACCAAACGTTTGCCTTGTTTTATGTTACTTTCCCAAGGGCTTTGCTGTGCCTCTTATCCTCTCTTCCTCTGGCGGCTTCAAGCTCCAGCTCCCTCACAGCTGCTTCCTGTCAGCATTGACACAATTTCAATTTGAGTCCCTTCAACATTTTGAAAAGCTTTCTCTCAACTCATGTCTTTCTGGTCATTTTTTAAATTATCTCTCTTCCCCCTGCTATCACCAAGCCTCTGGCTTCTAGGTTCTACTTTCATTATGCTTATTGAAACTAACAAAAAAACAGCTATTTGTCTTAGTACATTTTGTTGCTGCAACAAAATACCTGAATTTGGGACATTTATTTTAAAAAAGTTTTATTTAGCTCATGATTCTGCAGGTTGAGAAGCCCAAAAACATGACATTGTCATCTTCTTAGCTTCTGGCAAAGATCTTGTGCTTTCTCATCTTTTGGGGGGAGAAGGGGGACAGGTTTATCGAGACTATTGCAAGGTGCAGCAGGCTGAGAAGAAGGACTCTGTCTACCTCATACTGCGTATCCCTGAGGCAGAAAGCAGGAGGGAAAATAGGAGTGACTGGAAAAGAGAAAATATGAGGGCAGCTTCGCTTTATAGCGAACTGACCTCAGAGTAACGAACCTAGTCCCACAAGAGCCACACTGATCTCTCTTAAAGACCTACCCACCTCTTAGAGGTCTAATCAGCCCTCAATGGTATCACACTGAGGCCCCAATTTCAAGCAGAGTTTTGGAGAAGAGAAGCCACATTGAGATGAGAGCACTTCCAAATGTCTGTTTGCAAGCCAAAGAAGAAGACTGAGTTTTCCATCGTTTGAGGTACTGAGCTCTCTTGCCCACTCTGTCCTTGAAGGTCTTCTCTGTGGTCTCTGGGACACTGTGCCCTGTGCCATTCCCTCCAGGGCAGCACGCTATCCTTTTACCATCCCAGCAACTCTGATAGTTTTACTCCATGTATCTTCTAGAACTTCCCAAATCTAGGTGCCAAGCCATGGTCTTTTCTAGAGCTGTAGACCTCCCCTCCTAGCTACCTGCCTGCCGGTCGTCTTCTCTTGACACACCTCAGTGACAGCCCACACTTATTGTCTCCATGATGGGATAAAATTTTCTCTGAAAACCCATCATACAGTTCCTTATCTCAGTGACTGTCAGTGCCTTGAGTATTGCCACAAATTTCAGACATGGGGCAATTCCAGGCAACCCCACCCTGCCTCAGATCCAATCTTTCATTGGATGTCTCCTATTCCATCTTTTAATTCGTCTTGAACCTACCTACCTCTTTAACCCTTTCAATTCCTTTTCCACAATGCAGTCGCAGGAAGCCCTGGAGAGATCAAATCTGGATCCAGATTCTTTGCCCATAGCATCTCCATGGCTAACTAACTTTGCTTTCAAAGTAAGTTCTAATCATCAACTGAAAAAAGATCCTGTATGATCTTTCATGCTCTCAGGTCATGTCTTCTCCCTCCTGTCCCCACTCCTTATCTCACCTTACTGTGATCACTAAACTTCCTACTCTGTGCCTCAAGCCAGAAATACACTTCTCTGATCCCTCTCCACTTGCTAGAAAATTACTCCCTGTCAACAGTCCCCATCACAGCTTCAGGGTCTCGGGTGTCCTGCTGGAGCTTGTCTAATGGCAACGCTCCTGACACTTGTAGGGTCACTTCCCTGACTGGTGTCCCATTGGACAACAGGGACTCCAGCCAGAGAGAGGCTGCTGAAGACATCCATGCAAAGTCCATCAGTCTCTGTTGCATGCTAGAAGAAGATCTGAGCGAGGATGCCACAGTGCTCTGGTAGACTCATGAGGGAGTTGAACGAGAGTGGCCATGCTTGCACATTTCACATTAGATTACACAGATGTCAACCCTTTACTTAAGCTGTGCATTCAAGATGTGCTTGTCACTTCACAGCCATTACTATAGTATCACATTTGGCCCAAAACTCACAGCTCAGTGGGTATACATATGCATTTAGTTTAATACTGGTCCACCACCAATCTAGTATTATTTATAAATGTGATGGATTTCCTGGGCTCATAAGGTAGTCAGTAACCCAGTGTCAGAAGCATCAAGCCTAGTATGTGGCTGAATCCCATATATCTTAAAGCATTGCCTCATGTGGCTTCAGAGACAGAACAACAGTTTCTAGTCATAGAATGAACCTTGAGCAAATGATACATACAGAAGTAGCCTATATAAACAGACGCTGGGGTCTTTGGGGATGGTGTGGTGTCTTTCACATCTGACGGCCTTTCACTTGGCGTGAAGAAGACATTTATAGCACGCGAGTCAAAAGAGGAAAAGGAAAACCACTTTATGTATTTTTAAAGAGAGAACTTGACACAGAGGAATTATTTATACAGGCTGATAGAAGAGACAGGAGGACAAACAGTGGAGGTGAGTCAACCTTGCAATTAGAAACTGAGTAGCTGGTGTCAGCATTTGGCCAGAGCTGAGGATTTCAATGGGTCTGTCTGGTGGGGGCTTGAGAGTCAGTCATTACTAGAAACAAGGTTTTTAGTCCAGTCTGTCTTTTTGATTATTTCTCCCTGTCCAATATCTCTCAATTGTCTCCTTTTTACTGAACTTAGCAGAAAACCATTTAGCCTACAGAGGGCAAAGGGTTCTAGGAAATAGCATTAAGACTCATGTCCCTGTGTTAGGGTCCCTAAGACCACCCTCCTATGTTAAGAGCTATCAGTGCCCCATAAGTTCTAATGATATGTTTATTACAGCAAAACGACCCATGGGTAAGGGCCATGGGAAATCAGGATGACAGGTTCTCTCCCATGCAAGTCACATAGGATGGGTCAGACTTCACAGCAGCGACCACACATGTGTCATTGTGTGTACCAGAGCAGTAGATTCTGTGCCCAGGATTCTTACAGGGAATTGGTCATTAGTTGAGTGACCCTTTCACGGGGTTGCCTAAGACCATGGAAAAGCACAGACACTTACATTACGATTCATAACAGTAGCAAAAAAAAAAAAAAAAAAAAATCCTAATGGTAGCATAAAGTTATGAAGTAGCAACAGAAATGATTTTATGGTTGGGGGTCACCACACGAGGAAGGGTCACAGCATTGGGAAGGCTGAGAACCACTGGCCTAGACTCTGATAAGGAAGCAGGTGGTCTACATGACGAAGTTCTGTTAAGTTTAGTAGGTGGCACTGATCAGCCAAGGAACACGGGGAAGATTCCTGAAATCCAGGTCTCAGACAACAGCCAGTTTGGATGTCATTTGTGGGGTTCTTTTCTGCAGTCTCCATCACAGAGTGGGCAGGACAGAGTGTGGAGAAGCCCCTAGGTGCTCTCTAGGGCTCCTATCAGTGGACAGCCAGCCAGCAAGCTCCTTTTCTGGATACTGATGCCAGCTGAGGCTTCAATTATGGCCCAGAACAAGAGGAACTGTCAGTGAATCAGTCTGTTTTGGCCCCACTTTCCTGGCATCACTAGACCACTGAAGAGACCAGCATGCCTCTTCCTGCAAGAGCCTGAGACTTTCTCACTCTTCTACAGCAAAAGGCCATAATCCCAGTGTCCTACTGACTGAAACACAAAGAAAGCTACAGCTGGACCACCATGCCTATCCCAAGGGCAGACAGGAATGCTTGAACGCATCACTCAGGGATTCCAGTTCCCATCAGAAACACAGAACAGCCTGTGGGACTAAGGAGCAAACAGAAGGTGTTTGAGATGAAAAACAAAAGCAAAAACAACCCCCACCTCTGCCAAACCTTAACTCCTTAATTCTGTGCTTTTGTGTCTGTGATTTTGACACTTTTCTTACTAACAAACCCACCATCTTTCTCCAGCATGAAAATTCCAGAAGGTGGCCTGTGTTTGCTCGGGTAGTGAATGTTCCAGCAAACACTGTTTGATTTACTCGCAAAATTTCACATCTCAAACAAACAGAGAACTCAGTCATGTCTAGATGCCGCTATTTTTTTCCCAACTTAATAAGACCTTTCATTGGTTGGAACTGGATTTCA